TTCCTCTCATTCACTCACACTTTTAGCTGACTTTTTGTCTAATTTATTATTTTGTGTTTCTACTGATAGCACCTGAGTTCTCTCTCTCTCTCTCTCTCTCTCTCTCTTTATCTTTTCTCTAAAATATAAGTTGTGTTTTAAGTGCATCAAATAAATTTAGAAAGTTTTTGGTAATATTTACAATTTTTGTTTGTTTCATTTTGTTTTACATTTTTACATACGCAACGGCCCAAAAGTTCAAAATCAAAACAAATAAAACCTTTACACATCCAAATCAAGTTTATATATCTCATATGAATAGATTTATAAAAAGTTTGACATTTTTGCAAGCGTAGCACAAAAACTTTTAATAATACACTTTACAAAGTTTAATAACAATAATATGTACTTATAGCATATATACATACATACATATATATGTATACCAAAACAACACAGATTTACACCTGTGTATTTCAGATTGTGTATGCTTTACTTTGAATTCAAATAAAGTGAAATACATAGAAAGTCCTTGAGTCATTTTAATGGGCAGACTGCCACCACACATACACATACATATACTCACATACACTTACATCTGAGTGGGATGCGCAGTCAGCGAACTACAACAAAGGCGACCTCGCTGCAAAAACCAGAGCACTGTGAAGCAGATCAAACGCTAGACTAAGCCACTGTGTAAATCGGAAATCGGATAGGCTTTTGCATAATAGTTAATGCAGCCAACGATCAGTTGCAGCTAGTCGAACGGTGCTAATCACAGATCGGATATAAGACGGCATATCATATAGCCCAACTACTATGCGATTATAACACTAAGCCAATGGGGCTATAAAAGGGGCACGGTTAGCCCTGCAGGCAGCAGAGCAGCAGCGACAGCCACAGAGATTGGATTGATTGGATTTCTGATTTCTGACTCAGTGTTGAGCATATAGTCATGGCATTCCGAGGCAAAAATGCGGTGGTCACGGGTGGTGCCGGAGGAATCGGTCTACAAGTGGCCCGGCAGCTGCTGGTAGCAGGAGTCGCGGTGAGTCTAGGATGTTAGCTAACCTAGGCAACTATAGCAATGTCTGTCTGCTTCCCAGAAATTGGCCATCATTGACATACAGGATAATCTGGAGGAGTTTGTCAAGCTGCGCGCGGCGCATCCCACGCAAAGCGTCATGATCATCAAAATGGATGTGGCCAACAAGAAGGGCGTGGAGGCCACCTACGAGGAGATCAAGAAGACCTTTGGCAACATTGATATTGTGGTCAACGTGGCGGGCATATTCAATGACAAGGATGTCCAACGCACGCTGTTGGTCAATCTGGTAAGCAGGAGAACAGCTTCAGGTTTGGGGTATATAAAGAGTCTCTCCATTTCTCTCCTTCTCTTCTTTTAGGGCGGCATCATCAACTCTACTTTGAGCGCTTTGCAGTACATGAGCAAGGAGAATGGCGGCAAYGGRGGGCTTGTGCTTAACATGAGCTCCGTCGTGGGTCTCGATCCGATGTTTATCATACCAGTCTATGGTGCCACCAAGGCGGGCATCATCAACTTTACGCGCTGTCTGGGTGTAAGTAGCTAAAATGAAAACCTTTTGTCCATATTCTAATGCTAATCCTCCATATAGAACGACAAGTTCTATCAACGCTCGGGCATTAAGTTTGCCACAGTTTGTCCGGGTGCCACCATGACGGACATGTTCACCAATTTCACGGAGAAAATCATTTTCCCAGAGACCAGCGATGAGACGTACAAAATTTTGGATCGCCTGAGCAAACAGAGCGCCACGGACGTTGCGCGCTGCATGCTGAATGTGCTGGAGAAGGAAAAGAACGGCGCCGTGTATGTGATTGAGGGCAAACGCATCATACCCCTGGAGATAAAGCCGCTCTGGACGGGCAAGGAGCCGGCAGTCTAAGGGAATACGCACATGGCTGAAGCACAGACATATGATAATTAATCGCTTTGTATAAATCAATTGTCGCGGGTAGTTTTTAATAAAGAACCAAGTAAACTGAATTTAAGTTAATCCTTTCGCCAGTTAACCAGCACTTCATCCGTGCGATAGCGTTGCGTAACAAAGGCATCTTCCAGAGGCATTTGGGCGCCGGCCTTAAACATCTCAGCGCCTGCGTGGGCTATCATCAAGCCGTTGTCAATGCAGTAGCGTTCGTCGATGGCAAAGACTTTGCCATTGCGCTCCTCGCACATTATACCCATCATCTGCTGCAGTCGCTCATTGCAACCAACGCCGCCGACTATGAGTACCTGTAGACAAAATAGTTATACATATGTATATAAAATTTATATCTATAAATCGTTTGTTACTTCATTGGATTCACAGTGTGCCATGGCTCGCTCTGTTATCTCCACCAACATAGCGAAGATTGTTTCCTGCAGCGAGTAACATAGATCCGCTTGACTATACTCTGGCTCGGGTTCATCTTGTTGCTTCTTGCGTTTATTACGCCTTTTGCTAGGATCTGCCAGCTCTTCGATGTGTGACAGAATGCCAGAGAAGCTGACGTCCATTCCCTTTACTACATACGGCAATTTGATATACTGTTTGCCCTGCTTCGCCAGCTGCTCGATGTTGTATCCAGGACTTGGGTCGTTCGAGAGTTTAATAATGCGCGCAAACCGATCCAAGCAGTTGCCCACGGCTATATCAATGGTTTCGCCAAAGATGCGATATCGTTTATTGGAGTAGGCAATCACTTGGGTATTGCCACCACTCACATATAGCACTATTGGATTCTGGGCACCAGTTATCAGGCGACCCATTTCGATGTGACCAATGCAATGATTAACGCCCAGCAAAGGCTTCTGCCAAAGCAGCGACAAAGTGCGTGCCACAATGGCACCTACTAACAGTGGAGGAGCCATGCCGGGACCCTTTGTATAGCAGATGACATCCAAGTCAGCAGGTTTTAATTGTGCCTCCTTCAAACTGGCTTGCACAAGGCCCAAAATCGCCTCTCGGTGATGTTTGGCCGTTTCCTTAGGCAGAAAACCTGTTGCGTATATGGGAAGATAAAGTAGCGAAAGTATATAGGATATATTTTACATACCTTCGCCGGGCGGTGTAATGTATGTGCGTCGCACATTTGCCAATACTTTGCCATTGTTTATAATTCCAACGCCAATTTTATTGGCGCTGCCCTCGATGCCCAGCGCGCAAACCATCGTTGTTTACTTCTGCATTAGAGATGAGTAAAGGCGAATTACTCGACATGCTCATCTCTAAATTCAGCAGTTCGATAACAGATTACTTATCGATAATAATATTGTTTCGCTGTGTGAATGGTCTTTTCAGTGGGAGAGAAAATGTAAAAACAAATCAGTGTGTTTTTTATTTTCGTATTTAGCATTTGTTTATTAAGTACTTAAAAATGGAGGCTATAGAGCCAACAAACGAGTGTACTAATTTAAATGATGAAAATAACAGTGAGTCAACAAACCAGGAGCCAGTAACACAATTAGCAAATGACGCCGACGTGGATGCGAAAATTGCTTTGGAAGGTAAACAGCAGCTGGAATGCGAAAATAAAGTACAAAACCATGAAAGCCCTATAAAAGAAGAAACTGCAGATAAAAGTACACAAGATAAGAGTGAATTGGAATTAGTTAACGAAATTCATGCAGCAGTTGTGGAGCAATCGGTTAAAGAGAAGGAGAGGGCGGAACATGAGCCAGCAACAGGAATCAGTTATGCAGACCTCAAGGCGCAGGATGAACAGGAAAGCAAGGAAAACAAGGACAGCCGGGACATCCTCTCACATGTACATTGCCTTGCACAGCTGGAGGAACAACGTCGCAGCTATGAGCGCCAACTGGAACAACTGCGTACCTCAAATGTGCAGAAGGATAATATGATGACACTTCTGCAGAGGGAAAATGCGATATTGGAGAAGGAGAAGCAGGCATTTCGCAATGAGATGGATCTGGCCAACAAGGAGAAGGAGAGCACAGTGATTAAATTTGCTATGAAAGAGAAGTTGCTCATCGATGCCAAAAAAGAAAAAGAGACTGTGGAGAAACAGTTGGCAGATGCCAAAAAAGAAGTGAAAAATGTCTCCATACGCTTTCAGGCGGTGCACGAGGAAAAGTCACGGATGACCTATATCATAGATGAAAAGGTAAGTGTAAGAAAACTTAAATAGAATTGTACATAACTCCCCTACCTATTTTTTGCAGTGCAACGAAGTGCGCAAGTATCAAAGGGAATGTGAGAAGCTTAAAACGGAAATGGGACACTTGGAATCCAAGCTCAAATATCATGCCAACAAGCTAAACATTGAAGTAGAAGCTAAGGCAGTGAGTTCTTCTTCATCTTTATATATGCATAAATTATGTAAATATGAACTCTATACATCTTTTATAGAACCTGGAGCGCAAGCTGGAAGAGGAACGGAATGCACCCAATAAACTAGAAGAAAAGGCCAATGGTTGGGTCTTCTGCGCAGTTTTCTTTAAAGTATATCTATAATGTATATTCCCTTACAGAGAAGCTTAAGATGGAATTTGAAGCTAACACAATACTGCTTAAACATGAAATCAAAAGCAAGACTGATTCGCTGGACAAGCTGAACAAAGAGCACCAAAAGCAATGCGAAGCTAATAAGGAATTGCAACAGCAACTGCAGCAGTTAAAAGAAGCGGTAAAAACGAAATATGAGGGTAGTTTGAAAAATTGTCGGGCCTGTTGTTGCAAAATTAATTTACTTAACCTTTTTGTTAGCTCAGCAATTTCTCAGACTATTCTCATATTCACTATATAATTATGATAAGAAGTAATCAGTTTTCTTTGCTCTGCAGCATGAACAGCTTTCGGGGGAGTTCAAGGAGTTACAGGCGCAGCATAGCCAAATAGATGCCGCCTACAGCGACGAGCTCTTAAATGCAGCGAAATTGCATAGCCAGTTGGCTGAGCTGCAGCTGCTGCGCACACAGAATACAATGTATGCCTTAACCTTAGCCTTAGCCTTAGCTAATAAAATTGCAATTGTAAATAAAATAATTAACTTTTATTATTCACTCTTTGAACAGCAACGAGCAGAAGTTAGTTGAGGCGCAGACGAGGATAGAAGAGCTGGAATCCCTGGTGCAGGACAATGAAGTAGATTTAAAGCAAGTGCAGGAGAAGAGACAGGAATTGCTGAACATTAACAAAGAGATGACCGAGCTAATAGTCAAGCTGCAAAATGATATTTAYCTGGCAGAAGTCAAAGTAAGTTCCTGATAAGATAATTCACCTAATAGACAAAAAATTTACCTGCCCCGGGTGAGGCTCGAACTCACGACCTTAAGATTATGAGACTTACGCGCTGCCTACTGCGCCACCGAGGCCATGTGAAGAATTCGCCACTAACATGAAAATTCTTGTTTCTATTTATAACCAGTCGCTAGGCTTCGAGTCAGAGAACAAATTGCTGAAGCAGGAGCTGCTTGCATTCGATGCCAAATACTTGGAGCTAGAGGAGCAAATGCATGCGGAGGGAATGGAGAAGATAGAGGAACGTCTGCTGCTGGCTAAACATCTGTCCGAGAAGACAAAGATGTACGAAGTGGTCAATGCTAAGCTGGAAGAGCTGCAGAACCATTTTGAGGCAACGAAGCACAAGCATGCGACGCAGGTGAAAGAGCTCCAACGAGAGCTGCAAAAGTACAAAAGAGGCATTGTGGATGCTAAACCAGCGGGTTATTGTCGCAACTGTCAACAGGCAATGAATGACTTGAGCCAGGAACAACTGCAACAGCCGCCGCAGCCGCAGCAGCAGCAATTGATCACTCATAGTCGCAGCAGCAGCCAGTGCAGCCGTGCCAGCGAGTCATCCGAGTCTGAGACGGTGGTCAACAGTGCGTCACAAGCGCAGCCGGCAGCCGCACCAGTAACAGACCTACAAGCAGTACCTTCAAAGAAAGTCTTAGTTGAGCGCATTTTGCGCTTGCAACAGGCTTCAGCACGACAAACGGAGCGCATTGAATTCCTGGAGAATCATACGCAAATGCTGGTCTCCGAGGTCCAAAAAAAATCCAAAGTTGTGCAGCATTATATGCTGCGAGATCAAACGGCCGGCGCGCTCACCTCCAGCAAAAGTGATCAGAGCAAAAGCGAGCTGGTCAAATATGGCAATGGCGTCATGGCTGCCATCTATGGAGGAGTCAAGGGAGCTGAGAGCAAGGGTATGTCCTTGGAGCTCTCACTGGAGATTAATAAGAAGTTGCAGGCTGTGCTAGAGGACACGCTGTTAAAGAATATAACGCTCAAAGAGAATCTCGATGTGCTGGGCCTCGAGGTGGATAACCTGACGCGCAAATTGCGCTCGCAAGAGCTAAGCAACAGTTAGGCAGAGTGCCTGACCACTAATCCATTCCGTAGATATAACAATTCCATTGTGATTAAGTTAAAATTAAAAATTTAATAATGCAACAAGTGTCGAGGTGTTCAAAGTTAAGGCAGCACATCCGTTATAGCAGGCCATCATAGAGCTTGGTGCCAACCTTTGATGGCTTGCCAATATCCATGGATAGCTGCAGCGTCGGCTGCTCGCCGTCCTTGGCCAGACGTGACAGCTTATTGTGCGTCTTCTTGAAATGCACATTGATCAGCGGATTTGGGTCGCCAGTTTCATCCTTAATATATTCCCGCAGCAGTGGCGGCAGTTCAATCTTTGTGGGCAACACTACGGAATCCACCTTTTTCTTATTCTCTAGATATTTGTGCTCCTGGTCAACGGGCACCAGCTCGTAATCGGCCTTATAGCTGGTGCTGTAGATCTCCACGGGTTTGGGTTGGGTCACTCCACGCCATGTCTTCTGCACAGTGACGCGCACCTTGCGTTCACTGTCGGCCTACAAAGAGCAGAAAAATATGAGAAATAATACTATTTTGCCTCTTTCCCACTCTTACCTGCTCGTCCACTGCTTGCACCTTTAGTATGCGCATGTAGCAGGGCTCCGGGTACCGTTGAAACATGTTACGTATGACCATGCGACCGACGCCCCAGTCGGGCAGATTGCCGACGATTTCCCACAGAGTGTTGCCGCGAAAGTCTGTGGTGCGCCCAATGTATTGAATTACTTTTTGACTCATGCTGCACGGTCTTTAATTAATAAAAACTGAGCAATGTTAAATTTATTTTATTATTATTCCGGTGTGCGCTGCTTCTTCGCGACAAGTGCCACTCACTCGTTATGCAAACAGCTGTGCATCTGGCAGCGTTGCCACTTATTGCTTAGACGTGGTGCTTGAGGTAGTTGGCAACGCGGCGTGTGTTCAAATTGTGTGATCCTATAATCTATTATTATTTATTAAAGACTAGTTTAGTTAAATAATTGAAATTTATTATATCAAGTGTTTTTGGGTCTGTTTGCTGACTTGCTGTTTGGCTTGATTCGCTTATAAATCGCATAAATATTTAAACTAGAATTGTAATACTCTGAAGTGGATTAGCCGGAGTGTGATCGCTCTTCAGCCCCGTCGCTGGCTGTGTGACCCACTCCGCTGGTGTCAAGCTGTTCGTCATACGACTCCAGCTCCTCGTCACGGTGCTGCTCCTGCTGATTGATGCTCTCATGGAGTCCAACTGTAGCATGTGCCGCCGCCTTAGAGGCATTCACCTGTGCAGCCGCCGCAGAGGAAGCTGCCTTCAGAGCCGACTCCTTGGTGGCAGCATAGTCCACGCGCGCCTGCTGCAGCTGCTCCTCCACCTGTTCCACCCGATTCTTCGCCTGGCCCACCATGGTGGCCTGTGAGGCCTGCTGATTGGACACCTCGGTAGCCGTTTGCTCTGCTTGCTCGGCCACCGACTTGGCATTGTTGAGGGCTGCCGTCAGCACCGAGATGTGATGGTGCGCAGCCTGCGCCGTTTGTTGTGCCAGCTTCGCGGACACCTTGGCCGCCTTCAGCTGCTCCAGCTCGCGCGAGAGCGCACGCTGTGCCTCGGCTGCCTGCTGCTCCAGCTCCTGGAGTATCACCTGCTTGCCCGCGAGCGCCGCTTGCGCTGTGGCAGCTGCCTGAGATGCGGCTTGCGCCAAGGTGTTTTTGGCTATGAAGGCCGCCTGCTTGGCGGCAGCATGTTGATTTGCGACGGCGCTGTAAGCCTGATCTGCTGATCCCTGGGCAATGGAGCGCAGACCGCTGCCTATGCTGTAACCTGCCTTGCTGCTGTCACTGGAATGGCTTTTGGAGCTGCTGCTGTGGTGTGGCGACTGATGCTGCTGGTGCTGTTGCTGCTGTGGATGATGATGCAGCTCCACTACCTCCTCGTGTCCTGGCAACGAGGGCTCAAAGTAGCTGCCGCCGCTGCCAAACTGATGCTGTGCCGGCGGCTGCTGTCTGTAGAAGTATCCATTGCGCTTGTGCAGCCTGCCCAACACCTGAGCGCAAAGCAGCGCTGCGATTGATTGATTGATGAATATTGTGATTAATCCCTGAGAGCAGTCTGCGGTAATCCTTGAACTCACCTAGTATCAGGTATTTCAAGCACTTGTTGTACATCTCGTTGCCAAAATTGTATTAAGCTTCGGCTCCAGCTGCTCCAATGGGTTTTATACACCTGCGATTCAGGCAGCGGTGCAGAAATTTTATAAATTTACGTTTTTTTTTAGTAGTGCGGAAAGTCTTGTTGCGGCTCTTGAGTTTAACGGGCACTCAACATGTGAGACTTTATGATATATTTGAATATCACAAACACACACATACACACTCTTGCACACACACCCGCTCGAGGAAGTTCATAGTTGTCCGCGCTTTGATGGCGTCTCTCTTAATGATTTGTTAGCACGGTGGCTCGCTTTATGCTGCTTGCGATTATGGGTGGTGCAAAGCTGACGAAAAAAATTATAACTCGCATTTTAATGGGTTGCACCCAATTGTAATTGATCTTAAGCTGGTTATAATAGTATTTCGCTTGCAGCACAACTTTTTTGCTTTTTTGTTAATTGTTAACTCTTCTCTTTCTTTTAAATATTAATTTAAAAAATATATTTTTTTTTATATTATAAATATGAGCAAAGTGTGGAAAATGTGTGTTATGTAAAATAATTGTGTAAATGAAAGTATATAAAATGTAGTTGATATGTGTTTATGATATATAATTAAATAAGAGTAAATATTTTGCAATATTTAAAGTGGGTGCTTAAATGGTAGAGATAGTCTTGAAAGCCATTGCTATTTCTTTCATTCACTCTCACTTTCTCTCCCTCTCTCTCTCTCGCGCTCCCTCTTACTCAAACGGATTAGATCGCTCACTGATCTGAGTGCAGCATAGATCGTTGTTCTCATTTGTTCGAAGAGCCATCGTTTTCCTACAGTCGGGCCAGCCGTATTTACCATTAGTCTACTAATAAAACCTTTTCCTATCTTTGTTTTTTTTTGTAGTGCATGCTGAAGTCTTTCATAAAAATTAGGTCTACTAGCTGGGTCTAGCATCTCTGTCTCCCTTTGTTGACATTTGATTTATTTGTTTGTTAGGTAATATTTCTTGGATAATGCGGACTACCATCTTTGTATAACCCATGTTTACTCACTTTGATAAAACACAATGATTTCGCAACACTCGATCGATAAGTTTTAAAACTTATTTCATGTACTGCAGATATGTGTTTGATTGCGGTTAGTCCTCCTAACTAATATTTTAGTTTTTAATTGTCTTAAGAGATATTCAACTTGGCATAGACCCATCATTTCTTTTCACAAATCCCTTCATTTCAACATCTTGCAATATTATGTAATACATATGATTATATTATAATTGTAATATAAAATCATAGCAACTTATATAATARTAATGAAAAGTCATTAGGTTTTCTTTGATAAATTAATGTATTTAAATAGTTTTTAATTTATTACAAGTATAAAAAATAAATTAATTAATATAAACACAACTATCATACACGATGCACGAATCGGAGCTTCAAAGTGGAGAGCAATAGGCGACAAGCGCTTGTGTCGGCCACTCGCTAACATATTTGTCCAACAATCGAATCTGAGTGCGACAAAGAGTGTTTTTTTAACAACAAATAATAAAGTAGCAAAAATCATAATAACAAGGTAATAAGGAAAAGGCCTAAACAAGACGGGGTAACGGTAACGAGCGGTAACAGTCAACACGCGTGGGCCAACAGAGAGTGCGTTGCGTAACGGAAATGGCTGCTCAAAAGTGAAATACGAATTGATCGGAGGTGTCGTCATTGGCTGTGACGGCCCCCGCTCTGGGCACTGTCTCCAATAATCATTTGTAGCTCTGCGTGATTTGCCGAATCCAGGGCAAGTAGGCAGAGACCTTCACGTAGACGCCGGGCACATTCACCTGGCCGCATCCGATGCCCCAGGACACCACGCCGACCACGTTCCAGACGCCGTTGCGCTCGCAGACCAGAGGACCGCCGCCGTCACCCTTGCAGGCATCCTTGCCCTCCTCGCCGCCGGCGCAGATGAAGCCGGGATTGAGTTTGTAGCTGTAGCCGAGACGCGTGTTGCGCAGCTGCGCCTCGCACTGATGGTGGGACAGAATTGGCACATCGACTTCCTTGAGGATGTTCTGGTATTTGCCGTGCTCGCCGAAGGCGTCCTTGCCCCAGCCGGTGGTCCAGCAGCGAGCGTTGGTGAAGTCGGAATACTGATCGGGCAGACAGGCGGGACTGATGTGTGGGTTCTTGGTGAAGTCGACGGGGTGATCCAGCTTCAGTATAGCCAGATCGTTGTCCAGGGTGCCAGCATAGTACTCGGGATGAATGTGCACAGAGACAACATCGCGCTCAATGTAGGGGAAGAACTCGACRTCATGATTGACATCCCATTCGCCCAGGCGCACGCGCAAATCGAATCCATTTTGACTGCAGAAGGAAATGCCAGGTTAGTCTAAATCTTCTGGAAGAGCTTAGAGTCGACTTACGATTTAATGCAATGGGCCGCCGAGATGATGTGCTGGGCATCAATGAGAGTGCCGCCGCAGGCATAGATCGATTCCTTGGGATCCTTCTTGAGGATGGCCACATGCCAGGGATACTCGCCGAACTCACTGTCACCATCGACATAGACGGGATTCTTGATGCGGCCCGTGATGCCCGCGGCATTCCTTACGCCACAACGTCCCAGCTGCTGCTGGGGAGGAGCCTGGGGGCGCAGTGGACGACGGCAGCAGACCTCGTTGATGCGACAGGTCTTCTCCACAGGACGGTTGCCATAGTAGGCGCGCTGCAAGGATGGAGAAGGAAGGATTAGCAACTGTTTTACTGCTTAGCAGAGGATTCTCATATGTCTAACAGTCCGGGATCGTTCAACTGTCCGCAACTATGGTTACCTGCTCCGCTCCCAACTCAAACTCTTCAGGCTTATCAACGCTGCGTCGCCTGCGATCACGGGGAAAGGTTACATGATCACTGCCCGCCGCAGCGCCAGGCGCTTGAGCGGGAATGCTATGCACTTGCCCCAAATTYAGCTGCTTGCYCCGACGAYTGGGCGCCGACCAGTCGGGGGCAGTGGCATTGACGCTGCGCTCGTAATGCTGGGAATAGTCTCCGTAGCTGCCAAAGCCAGTGGAACCAAAGTCTTCGGGAGATGTGTCGGGATAAATGGAATTGTAGGAGTGCTCGAATGGAGCCTCCGAGTGGTGCTCAGCGTGATGRTAATGCTGCGTTGGCACATGCACTGAGGGTCCACTGTGGTACTCAAAGATGGGCGAGCTGTGCACCATCTCCACGTCAAAGTGTGGGCCTGAACTTTCGAAAACGTGATGGTGATGTGTTGGCGGTGGTGCGCTATAGTGGTGCGGATGATGCTCATGCTCGTAGCCGCTGAAGTGATCGTGATGATGGTAATGCGTGCTGTGCACTTCGCTCGGCGTCTTCTTGAAGAAATCGCCCACTTTCTGAATGATATTCGCATTGGGTGTTACGTGAAGATTGACCAGTGGCTTGACCACATTCTCGCCGTAATCCGTTTTGCTCACTTGCAGCGAGACCAGTGGATTAACATTGACCAGACCCAGATTGAGGCCATTGGGGCCCAGCGAGCCAAAGTTGGGATTCTGTGCGGGGTAATAGTCGTTCAGGACATTGGCTGGATAGCCGCCTGGATAGCCAGCCGAGGGGTAGGGCAGACCGAAGCTAACCCCATATGTGGGCAGAATCTTGCGCTGTATCAGCTCAATGGCTTGGAGGGCGGGCAGTGCCAGCGGGGATGGTCCCAGTGCGCCTAAACGCTGCTGGAAGAAGGACACACGGTGTTAGCCCTAGGAKCTGATGGACGTGGACGTGCGASCGGTTTTAGGACCCGTGCGTTGTTAGGTTGATTGGTTGTTGTTTTTTTTTTAGTTGCAGTTGGATTAGTGACGAATCCCAGTGTCGTTGGCAGACAAACCCACGCAGGAAGACGACGACGAGCAGGGGGTTATTTGGTTTACCTTTGGCGGAGTTTGAGTTGAGCGTGGAGCGTTGATCAATGCGTGCAGTTGAGTTGTATTTGAGTATGTGTGTGTGTTTACTTGTGTGTGTTTGTGTGTGTGTGTGTGTGTGGGGTACTAGATCACAATTAGTCTCAACTAGGGAGCATTATACTAAGTGTCAATTGCATTAGTCGGCCACTAACAAGAGCTAAAGGACTGAAGTCTTCGCAGACACTTACCCCTTGGGCGTCCAATGAGAGATCGCTGCTGTCGTTCTCCTTGTTGTCGTTGTCGGCGTCGGCCTGGCGACGCGTGCGTTTCTTCTCATCCTCATCCTTCTTCTCCTCTTTGGTGTCAGCCTTGGCTGTAGCATTGGCATTGGCCGCAGCATCGTCGCTCAGTGCCTCGATGTCCTTGCCCAGATTTCTGGGATCGATGGCCAGAATCAGATCCTCTTTGCGTCCAATGCGGTCAGCGGCCGGGCACTGATTGATGGGCACGCATTGGCAATCGACGATTTGTTGACGGGACGTGTCATAGCCACCGCCGGCGCCCTGGTACAGACCACCTTGGCTTTGTCCATTGTAGCCCGAGGAGATGCCGTTGTAGCCGCTGGAGGCACCGCTGTGCAGCTCCTTCTTGTAGTAGTCGGGATTTTGGCTGTGATAGCTGCCGCCGGGCGAGCCACTGAAACCGTTCTGGCCAAAGCTRGAGCTGGACTGTGACAAGCCAGAGTTGCTGCCGAAGCTACCCAARCCGGAGGTGGGCTTCTGTCCGGGATAGCCCTGGGAGAGCAGACCACCTTGGGAGGCGCCATTGAAGCCAGCTGTGAACGCATTCGACTGCGTGAAGCCGGAGCTGCTTGCCTGTGCCTGGGGCGTGTACGTGGCTGAGGATTGGGCCAAGGCGCTGAAGTCGGTGTTGATGGTCTGGCCACTGCCAATGGGAATGGGAACAGTTGGAATATTGGCACCCTCGCCGGCATCCACGTGATGGAAATGATGGTGGACATGTTGCTGAAGACCCGCATCGAGCGGAGCACCCACAACAACCTTGGTGCTGGAGGAGGTGGCTGCCGAAGACGACGATGACGATTGCTGGGAATAGAAGCCGTTCAGCGAGGAGCTGGCGCCCTGGATCTTCTCGGGATTCTCAAAGTTATAGGGAGGCACGCCATTCGAGGGGCCACTGTAGATGGGTCCGGGTCCGTTGGGCGAGCCAGTGTAGAGTGGGCCAGGTGGCTTGCTGTCGTAGATGATAGAGCCGGGTGGGGGCTTGGTGTAGGTGATGCCATCGGAGCCATCAATGCCGGATGGTGGATGTTCCAGATAGGAGCCGCCGAACTGACCGCCAGGTCTGTACAGGCTGTTCATCGGAGGCTTGTAGGAGCCCTCATAGCCCACCTTGCGCGGAGGTCCAAAGGAGTTAATCGAGTTGGACGGCGGGCCCATGGGCGGACGTCCACTGAAGTAGCTTGGTGGTGGCATGGGCTTGGCTGGTCCATAGGGGCCGCCGCCGAAGCTGGATGGTGGCGGTGGTCCTTGGGCATAGATGGTCGAGTAGAAGGGGCGCTTCTCCTCCACATCGCAGCTCATCAGACCCAGTCCGCAGAGCTTGTCCCGAATGAGGTTGCGCGCCTGCAGATCGTTGCCCTCCTGCAGGGCCTGATCGATGTTGCCATCGGCATAGACGGCGTCATATTCGCCCAGATTGCGGCCCTCACGGCGCGAGTTGATTAGCTGATCGATGACCGTGTCGATTTCCGTGGCGTTGCTCTGTGTGCTCTCGTGCACCGCATAGTTGCGTCCCTGTGCGTCCGCCGCGGGCTGTGCGTCAGCCGAGCGCCTGCTCAGCATGGAGTCCGGCRCGTCCATGGGCGCCCACTCATTGCCCCAATTGGAGTCGGCAGCGACCAGAGCGGAGCTGGCCGCTAGCACCAGCAGGCAGGCCAAACTGTGTCGCATTCTCATTCTCATCCTGTGTGTGTGTGCGTGTGCTGGAAAGCAATAAACAAAGTTAGCTGGGGCCATTGCATAATCTCGGTGACACCAATAACCCAGAGCATGTTCAAGCCAACTGGTCATTGTCCCAATTTACACGCAGTCGACTCTGCCCCTCTGCCCCGCCCGCTCTTTCACGGGCATTTCGCTGTGGCAATCGCACGAGAGTAGAAACCGGTCTTGCTTACTCAAATCTTCGCGCTGACTCAGCGCCGCGCGGCTTGAATTAAAAAGACTTTTACTTTCGTTCGAGGTCGCAGACCGTGCATGATGGCAGACACCGGCCGACCGCTCGCCCGCTCCCCCGTTCGCTTGCTCCAGCTCAATGAGGTAATTTTACCTGGCTCGAGATTTGGCAAGCCCCAAAAACTGATCGCTCAACTTGATCTCTGCCTTGACAGCAGCGTCCGTTCGGCGTCAGTTTTTGACTCTGCATTTTCGTAACTCCCGACTATTTACATGCCTCTGCCCGCCCGCTTGCTGCGTGTTATGTCATTTACGCTTTTAATGTGCTTTTCTTTCTGGAGCGTGGGTTGTTGTAGAGTCTCTCGTTGAGATCTTTTGGCTTCGGCTTTTTTTCGGGTTATATAAAGCGCACTTTTGCTTTGCCCCCATCGAACGGAAGTCGTGTGCAACGTTGCATTGCAAATTGATCTCGACTTTATTGTTTTGTTTTATTTTTTGCCTGAGCAATAAAGTTAATTTATGTGTGTGTGTGTGTGTGCAACTGGGAGCTTGTCTTCAGATTTGCAGTGAAAGTTTTTTGATATATAGGGTTTAGGTCGTTGACTTCGATATATACTATATCAATCGGATATTGACTGCTCATTGATGGGTATAGTGTGGGCGTGGCAGTGGGCGARCTTACTATTATGATAATGGGATTGCAATTGAAGCTAATTAAACTAATGAGCTAGCAAAAGACTAGCTGAAGAAAGGAGCTAAAGTATTTCATAGTAGATGTTATATGGGAGATCATATATGTAGCTTATAGTTTGCATGGTAGAGGCAATAACGGTGTGGGAGATTGCCTATATCTATATGAATGCTGACTTGATTTTATTGGAATTAATATTGTATAGCACTGTATATAGTAACTGTTATAAAACTCTCAAAGTTTGTTCACTTTATGAAGATCTATTTTTGGCTAGAGTTGCAATTTCTATTGTAGCTTAAATATTTGTTATGTATACACATAGGTATTTATATATATATATGTCGAATTTGGTAAGACTCGACATTTGTGTCATTCATATGGTAGTTCATTTCTTCACACGTCTTTCAGATCTGTTTCTACATCCTCTTATATTTCACTGTTTGCGACACTTTTCACTCCGTCTCTTTCTTGTTCACTCTTACCTTTCGCTTTTTATATAAATATTCCAATATGTCGCTTGTAATCCTTATGTAAGTGGTCTTTGTGCCTTTTATTTTTGTTATCCTATCACTGCACCACTGCACCACACTGTGTCTGCCTCGTTTGTTAACGTTTTCTTCACTGATTTCGCTTTCGACTGCGCCTTGGATTTTATACAAAAGTTGCGCATGCGCAGAGTCGCAGTCTCAGTCGCTGGCTCTGCCGCTGCGGCTGGCTCTGCCTCGGCTGCTGTTGCTTGTTTGCGAATTGTTGGCTCAAAACAAAACGGAGAGCTCACAATTCGTGGCTATGACGTCAAAGGCTTTACTTTTGGGTTTTTTCTTTTGGCTTAACTGCATTCTGCGTATCAGCGAAGGTTAAGATGAGCTCTAAGCGGAAACCTTAGCTACAAATTAAGCTTGTTGCAATCGTGTTAATCGTGTAAGCTAAGGGGGGAACATTAACAAAGTTAAGGAGATGGAGAAGAGACCCAAATTAAAAATTAAAAAAAGAAATATGTTGAAAACTCTTACGTCCCAAATTAGCGCTTTATGTTTTCATTTTTGTATTGTTATTGTTTTTTTTTTTTTTTTGCTTTTTTTTATGTGGGCTGCAGCTTGATGTCGCGAGATGTTTATGTACAAATTTTCACCACAGTTTCCGCATAAGGCGGTCGCTTATGAAATTTGCACTTATTAATTGGGTCAGCATCAAATTCAACAAACTTACAAAAACTGACCCAAAGATCAGCCCGCTGACTAATCGACGACGAGCCTCAAAGGGCAACGCCACTGAAAACCGGATCTGGCCCAAAAATAAATTGGAAGCTACAGCTCGTATTTACCCCAGGGCCAGGCGCAAACAAACGCACACTCGATTGCTCAGTCGTTCAATCGCTCAGTCAGTCAATCAAAATTTATTTGCCGCTTAGCGGTTTTACCCGAAGTTCATAAAAATTAAATATTGTTTATTAGTATGTAGCTCTGTCTGGGATTGTGCGCGTGCCGAACCCTGTTGTGTATGGTCAGTGATCAGTGATCAGTGATCAGGCATTAGTATTCGCACTCTTCACTCACTTTCAATCACTTGCAGTCGGTCAATCAGTCAGTCAGACTGTCTGTGTGTGATTGACCTTGCAGCGTTTAAGTGCCATTTGATGTTAACGATTCCAAGAAAGCTGTTAATATGTGTAAGCAGGCCGCTGCTCCGTGTTAATTATGCTAATCAGCCTAAGCATTTCACTCTGTTTATATACCCTGAATCAATGAATCAAGAAATATACTATACAAAAAAGAAAGGGGATCAGAGACTGCCTGCCATCTTTTCACTAGATTATCCGATTATCATTTCATATTACTATAAAGTTTTCTAAAGGTCAATAGGATAATACATTGACTTATTTTTTCCATTACTCCATTACTGGACTCTGCTTAAGTATATAATGTTGTTATCTGCAATGCCCAATCCACAACAAAAACTTTAACCACAATTTTTTTCTATTCAATGTCTCTCTCCGTTTCGTTCTCCGCACGCATATCTGTTTACAGGGTATTTCACCGTCGGTCACCCTACTTATGCCTTAAGTGTTTGCCAAACAGTCACCAGTTCAACAGTTCGTGTAGTTTTTATCAATCGCAAAGCTTTGACCATCGGGTTTTTTCGCCTGAGTCAGGCAAAAGTTTTTTGATTTTCGGTTTTCGGTTTTCGGTTTTGGGGGCATGTTTGAAGCAGCCTGCTTTATAGTCAACGCACTTCCGATTGAGATTTTTGGAAATTAGTTTCAATATTTGCCAAGTAAATTCCCAGTAGCCGCGGCTTGAACTTGACCTTAGGCTGTGCTCACTCCGCTCTGGGCACCTTGTGCCAGCCAAAGAGCTGTTGCTCTGTAATCGGGTTCAGGGCTTCGATTGATCTTTTAATTGAAAATCTTTAATCGAATAGCTCTTAGGTTGATATATGTCAAATATTGTGGGCTTGACATTCAATTCGATGATTTTATAGGTTAAAATACATTAAATGAAATCTTTTTCATTTTATTTAATTTAATTTCATTTTTTGGTGTTTGGACAACTCAGTTAAAAATGGATGTATGTTTGCTGCTTATATAAAGGTTAATTATATATATGCATACTAGACATTGATGGATTGTTTTATACTTATCTACATGCCTGTTAGGCCTTAGGCTTGTCTAGAAAACATGAAAATATATATGTAGGTATAACACCGGGTCTATTTCAGAAGTCTAGTAATATAGGACATATTCAATTTTTTTTTTTAAATTATTGATAGGGTTATCAAGATACAAAATAAGTCAAAAATTATAGTCGGTAATGGTGGGCTGGGAGATTAGCTGAGCCCCGACAGATATAGGGGTCTATATCTCTTTTTTATCAATGCAGATTGAGAGCAGATAAACATTTAACTCACTTCTTCCCGTTTTACTCATTTACATCAATTTTGTAGGCCTGTGTTTTCTATTTCTTTATCATCTCTGGCTTATACATAATTTGTCACAGCTTTTGTAGCCTCTTCAAAACATCGTTAATCTGTGTTTATTTGCACACTCCTCTTTACCTCTGTCTTTCTCACTCTTTCTCTTTCTTTCTCTCTCTCTCTTTCTCTCTGTCATTCCCTCATTTTTTACTCGAAGGTCACTGGTTTTTGTCACAATTGCTTCATAACCAATAGCTGAATAACTCCCACATATCTCGCCGTTTTGGCATTTCTTCATGCAAAGCAGACGCTAAAATTGGGCTCTAATTATGGGGAAGCTTGTGTGCAGCTGCAACTGCAGCCGCGACCGCATTCACCGCCATTTGTGTATTGCAACTGTGCCACGGATTTGCCCAAAAAATAAATGAAGTTTTGGAAAATCCCGGGCAAAAGGCAATTGCAAGAGACGCCAAGCTTCAGTTAGCAATTGGCCTAGCCAATTCTCATTGCTCCGAGCCGGTCGTTAAGTCTTGGCCAGGCCTTGGGAAAACCCCGGCTCAGGTTTTGTGGCAAGCTAAGGCACACTGTTGTTTCGTCTCTCTCAGCCTCTGTTTGAGTTCGCCTTTATGTTTTTTTGTTTTCTGTATCTCTCGCTGTTTGTATGGCTTACATAATCCAAGCGCCGAATGCAGTCACAGCCGGCACGCGATGCAGTCGAGCTGAGCGAATCGCTCGCTCCGTGATTCATTTGACTCAAGAAATGTGTTTGAGCATACACTGCAAGAGGGTATCTGAGCTTTAATATGAAATATGCTAGGCATGAAATATAAGCAAATTATATTTATATATACACTTATGTAGGTATAATATAGATATATCATATAGGTAGTAAAGTATATAGCAATGTGTATATACAAAATATAGTTTTATCTATGGAGTTTTATATATCTGTTAAAAATATAAGTAAGACTTTAGTTTTTATGCAGTTTCCATAAAAAAAGTCAGAATAATTTATATCAGTTATTAATAAATTTTTATTTATATTTCTCTATTATAGAAAACCTTTTCTAATTGTCTAGATACCTAACTTGGAATATTTTTATCATATCCAAAAATCTTTATCAATGTGAACCTCTATTAAAGAGTATTTATTATTCATTAATTAATTTCTTAATGAATTTTCATTGTTTTTGATTGAATTTTGTTTTGATTCGTTTTGCGTTTTTGGGATTCGCGTATGCTTTGCGCACGCAGCTGGAATTTTAAAAAACTATAAACTTTTGTTTTTTTTTTTTTTTTTT